TGTGTCAATTGATTTTCCTTCCTAGGCCGCTGGACTGTTGAAAGGATCTGGCTAAGTGCTCTAGACTCTGGAAGCAGATGCAACAGATTTTAGGGCTGTTGTTATTAGCTGTGTCAAATCAGTCCCCGACTTATGACAACCTCACATACAATGGAATGAAATGCTGCCTAGTCCTGTGCCATCCCCAGGGTCAATTGTGAATCCGAATGTTGTGATCCACAGGGTTATCATTGACTGATTTTCAGAAACAGATTGCCAGGTTTTTCTTCCTAGTGTATTTTAATTTGGAAGTTTGCAGAAACCTCAGTCTCATAGCAACATGCAAGCTTTCACTGAAAGGGGTAGTAGCTGTGCATGAAATGCATTGGCTAGGAATTGAACCTGGGTCTCCTGCATGTTACTGTTGTTGTTAGGTGCTGCTATGTTGGTTCTGACCCATAGCGACCCTATATACAACAGAATGAAACACCATGTTGTCCTATGCCATCTTTACAATTGTCGCTACACTTGAGCCCGTTGTTGCTGCCATTGTGCCAATCCATCTCATTTGGAGTCTCCTTTTTTGATGACATGTCCCCCTCCCCCCAACCTTACCAAGCATGATATCCTTCTCCAGGGACTGGTCCTTCCTGATAATGTGTCCAAAGTAGGAGAGACGAAGTCTGGTCATCTTGGTTTCTAATGGAGCATTATGGATATATTTCTTCTGACACAGATTTGTTTGCTTTTCTGGCAGTCCATGGTACTTTTAATATTCCTCTTTAATATTCTTGTAATATTCTTCTCCAACACCATAATCAAATGTATCACTTTTTCTATGGTCTTCCTTATTGATTGTCCAACTTACACATGCATAAGTTTATTGAAAATTCCTGCCTGGAGGGAGATAATTCCACAACTGAAACACTATTGTCCCCAGATTTTAGGGTATAAGATGTTTGATAGGCATTATCATGTGTGAAAGCAAGAAGGAGGAAATAAGATTGGGCAGAAGAAGTTGGATGGTGTTGCATTTTTCACACAACATTGCCTAACCTAGTAGGGTACTATGGCATGAATGCCCATCAGAGCCTGGCTACTCATAGTTTGCTCAGTCACCGGGAATAACATCACTTCGGCAACTCTGCAGCTGAGGCAGACCCTGAATTAGATGGCAGCTGGCAACTCCATGCTGACCACACTCCTTACAGCTGGACACCAAGTCCTTCTTTAGCAGGGGATCCAGCCAGTGCACTCTCCATACCCACCATGTTTCCCATATCCCAGTAACCACCAGGACCTGTCATTTCTCACTCCAGATCTGTTTCTTTTCTACATCCCCATTGCCAAGACCTTACTATAAAATCAGTTTCCTTTGAGTTGATTCTGACTCGGGGCAGCTTCCTGTGTGCAGAGTGGAGCTGTGCTCCATAGGGTTTTCAAGGCTGTGAACTTTCAGAAGCAGCTCGTCTGGCCTTTCTTCCCAGGTGCCTCTTGGTGGATGTGAACCACCAACATTTGGTTTACTAGTTGAATGCTTAACTGTTTACAACACCCAAGGATGCCAGTACCTTAATAAAACGCTCATCTTTTCTTTCTTGAGCTACTAAAATAGTGTCAGAACAGTTTCTGCTGCCCCTACTCACTCCTGTACTACATTCTGCCAGAGAGATTAAAAAAAAAAACCACGCACACAAATCTAATCACCACACTCCCCGGCTTAATACTTCGTTAGTAGCTTACAGTGGTCCTCATGATTACATTCAAACACTTTAGAATGGATTGCAGGCCCTTCCTGCTCTGCTCCAGCCTCATCTGTCCTCCTCACCCTGTCTGCCCAACCTGTTTCGGTTCTGCTTTATTCAGCATTAGGCAGTTTCCTCAAGGGCCCCTTCTCCCTTAATTCTTGCTCTTTGCTCATGCTTCCTGTGCTTAGAAAACTACCTGTGGCTTCCCAGCACATGATTGAAACCCAGGTCTCCTGGCTGGCAGCCCAGGCTTCCTTCTGTGCCTCCCAGTGGTCTACAGTCTGATGCAGGGGGCCCAGAAGACGGGTCGTTAAAATGTAACCCTTTAAAAAGATCTGAATTTAGTGGGTAAGATTTCCTAATGATGCCACATTTTAAACATGCACCGTGAATATTCTAGAGTTATTGCTCTTGATCCTATAATTCACTAAAAGAAATAAAGAAAAGAAACAAAACAAAATGCCTTTTTTTTTTTTTTTTTTGTAATATCTGATCTGCAAGCTATGAACACTGGCTTTGGCATGTCCTATACTCCAACCCTTAAGCTGTGTGACTATGAGCAATTTTCTTTCCCAACCTGATTTCCCCATCCATCTGTGCCGTGAGCACAGTAATAATGCCCTCCTTGGAAGGGCTACTGTGAAGGTTGAACAAGAAAGTGCATGGTAAGTCCTTGGTGTCTGAATTGAGTTATACTGAGAGTGGCTACTGGTTCTGAATGGGAGTTGATGTGTGTTGTGTCATATATACAAGATTTAGTGAAATAATAAGAGATTTTTGTCCAGAGCCAAACTGTCCAGAGCCAAGGGTACTGTACTTGTTCCGACTTCTACTGGCCCAGACTTAAAACTAGAGGTTCTCCTTGATCACCATTTCATAGTTCAATAGCTTAACCTTGTGCTCTAGAGGAGTGTTGCCCAACAGAAACAGTGTATCAGCCACATACATGACTTAAAATTCTCTAAGAGCCCCATTAAAATAGCAAGATGAAATTCATTTTAATGTATCTTATTGAACCCAGTATATCCAAAATATTTTCACATATGATTAATATAAAACTTATCCATGAGACATTTTGCCTTCTTTTTTTTTTCCATACCAAATATTTGACATCTTGTGTATCTCTACGGGTTAATGCGTTGGACCCCAAAGTCGGTTTGAACCACAAGATCGGTGGTTCAAGCTCACCAGTCGTTCGGAAACCCTATACACATCGCTATGGATCAGAACTGACTCGATGGCACTTAACCACAACAGAATGAAACAAATAATGAGCTTTCATCAGCCTGAGTGTATCTCAGAATGACTCCTAAGTGTTCCAGAGTAGAACTACACTCCATGAAGTTTTCAGTGGTTGTGATCTTGTGGAAGTAGATCACAAGGTCATTCTTCCATGGCACCATTTGGTGGATTCAAACTACCAACTCAATTTAGACACTGCATTTCCATTGGAAATACTTGCATCAGACTTCGTGAAAGCTAAGCATTACAATTGTGAGGATGGTGCAGAACAAAGGGATGCTTTATTCTTTGGTACGTGGTTGTCGCTTTGATTTGGAACTAACTTGCCATGGCACCTAACAACAACAGCAACCTATGTTTCAAAAGTAGGTATACAAATCTATGTTTCTCTAAAATAAATGAATAAAAAATCATCTCATCAGGCACTGTAGCCACACTACATGCACTGAAGCCACACATGTCCAGTGGCTGTGATACTGGACTTCACAGCTCCAGAGACCATGAGACCACTGTAATGCTTCTCAATGGTTTTCCTCTGCTTTGCTGAACTCTTTTCAAGTCCAGTGATCCAGAGAAGTCCATTACCTAAAATGGAGTTGAGGGCTTGCTTTGCTTGTAATTGGAGGAGGTTGGCTGAACAACACCCTCTGCCGCCCTCTAACCTTCACCCTCACCTCCACCCCCAGAAGCTCTGGAGACCACAGCGCTGCCTGGGAGCTCTGTGGCGTAGTTGACAGTGGCTAGCTGTCATCCAGTCAGCCCCCAGCTCCTGGTGACCCCATGGACAAACAGGAGCACATTGTGTGATCCATAGGTTTTTCACTGACTGATTTTCAAAAGTCACCAAGCAAATTTCTGACCACACATTTGCAATCTTAATATCTAGGGGCTCAATGGGATCTTAGCATAGGGGTTAACCTTACCTCCTCTCTGCAGTGCAAAAATACTTAGTATAGAATTCGTTGACAGGAAGGCAAGCAAGCACTCAGTCTCTATTAAACACCTGGGTGCAGATGGCTCATGTCATTCTCTTCAGTCTCACATCATTCTGTGTCCTAATCTTCTCTCCCTAACAGGCTGGGTGCTAGGACTGTCTTTTACAGCCCCATTGCTCCCACACAAAGCAACACCATCAATAAATCCTTAACCGAAAGGCCTGACTGACTGCAGGAATTCAAGGTCACTTGAAATACCAGGGTCGCTGCATTGCACAACTCCAAAGAACATCATTCAAATTCTATTTTACGCTTGTGCAAGGAGCAGCCTGGTAAAGTTTGTTAGATTAAGCGTGAACTTTCCTTGCTAGCAGAGAAAGGCTTTTGAAAACTTCTTCACAAGCAAACCAATTCCTTTATCCTCAGACAGGTTGTAACTGTAAGAGTAAATTTTTTTCAACTACCTTAGAATCTGTGTTTATCAGGGCTTGTGTGTGGCAGCATATGTACATGTGTGGCTGTGAGAAGTGCTGGCATGGCTTCTCTGTCAGAAAACCCATTTCTAACATTTTGAACATCTTCACCTTGTCTTCTGGTAGCATAGTGGCTACGAATCGGGCTGCGAACCTTAAGGTCAGCGGTTCAAAACTACCAGCCGCTCCATGGGAGAAAGATGAGGCTTTCTACTCCCATAAAGATTTACACCCTCGGAAACCCTGTACAGGGTCGCTATGGGTCGGAACCGACTCGACGGCACTTAACAACAGCAACAACAACACCTTGTCCTCAGGAGGCCGCTATGCTTCAGTTTCTTTCCCAGTTTCCCAGGAATGAAATCTCTTTCCAGTTTGAATCATATGCACTCCGGCTCTTAGTTTTGTAAAATGCCCCAGAGTATGACCCATAAGGTACCAAGGACATGCACCTAAGTGACCAAGTGAGCTAATGGTCTCTTCCTGACTGCATGGTTTCTGTCTTTGTGGAGCTGAGAAAATACACCAGAGGAAAAATGGAGCAGAGAGACTCTTAAGAAACCTCTGTTTGCTTTTGTGTTTTTCAAACTGATGGGTGTTTGTTTTTCCTCATGTCTACCCAGGAAACCAAGTCCTGCCTCCTGGAGTTTCTCTTGGAAATGGGCTCACACCACAAGCAGCAAAAGACCTTGGGCTTCCAGTGGGGATCGCGGTGGCATCCTCACTCATTGATGCACATGCTGGAGGACTAGGTAATCTCTTATCCCATGCACACACCCAACTCTGTGTTCCAAGTAAAATTCCCTAGCGCCTAAGACTTCTTTTTATAAAGGGAAGGTCAAGGTCTGGCTATTATCACAGAGTTTTTCTTCCTGTCAGGCATTTGAATGGAATTACAGAACGTTTCATCAAAAATAGAATTTTTGCATAATAATTTAACACTGTAGAATAATAGGGAAAAGAGATCTGCATAAATACCCGATCCCTTATAAGTACAAGGGGGCTTCAAAAAGTTCGTGGGAAATGAATGAAAAGGTAAATGGAATTTTTTCCATGAACTTTTAGAAGCTCCCTCATATTATAGATTTGTTTTCAGAATGTATTCGGTTTATATTCAATATTCAATTGGTTGCTTGGAGACTTGTTTTCAAGGAGTTCTGGTCCTGCATTTGTTAAGCGCCCAGCTACTAACCAAATCAGCTGTTCAAACCCAGCAGCTGCTCCTCAGAAGAAAGATATGGTAGTCTGCTTTTGTAAAGATTACACCCTTGGATACTCTATGGGGCAGTTCTGCTCTGGTCAATACGGTAACTCTGAGTTGGAATCAGCAAAAAAAGTTTTTTTGTGTTTGTTTTAGTCTTGATTTCATTTCCTAAATAACTCTCAAATATTTCTTTTTTGAATTCATTTATTCACTCATCAAATACTGATGGTGTTGGTGCTAGGGGAGAGTGAATTGGAAACCTAACAAGATGAAACCAAGATCTCTTCCCATTTGGAAATTGTAATTGACAATGAAACAAAGAATTACAAAAATATGTTATTAATTTATACTGTTACTCATCTCTATCACGGTTTACTTTCTGATTTTTGTTATCTTTCCGCTATGGTCACATCTTCATTTCTTAGTTTTTGCTTAGGTTTGTTTTGTTTTTGTTTTATTTTTTAGCCATGGGTTGTTGTTTTGTTTTTGAAGTTCATAATACATGGGATCAATTTAGTAGATCATGACTATAGAATTTCAGAATACAATGAAATAGTTAGAACAGAGTAGAAAGCATCAGAGGACATCTCACTTAGTAAGTGTTAGCAATATTTTATAGAACAAATATTTCCATTTTCTGCATATGTGCATGTGCGTTAGTTTCCTTGTACTTCTGTGACAGAAATATCATGAGAGGATGGTGTTAAAGAATAGAAATTTATTTTCTCACAGTCCAGGAGGCTGAATTCAGGGCAATGGCTCGAGGAAAAGGCTTTGTCTCTCTGCCATCTTTTGAGAAAGAGCTTTTAGTCCCCAAAGCTCCTATATTCCTCCATTCCTTGGCAGTCTTCAAGTAGTATCTCTCTTACCCCCATTTTTGCTTTCTTCTCTGTGTGTCTAATCTGACACAGTGACAACATCAAGGGACTCAGAACAATTATGAGGATGGCACAGGACTGGGCAGTATTTTGTTCTGTTGTGCATAGAGTCAGTATGAATCAGAACCAACTCAACAGCAATCACCACCAACAACAATCGGTTATTTTTCTTATCAAAGGTGATTGACTTAAGCCACTCCCTACACAGATACAGTCTCATTGACATAACAAAGAAAACCCTGTTCTTGCATGAGATTAAATCCGCAGATAGAGAAATTAGAACTCTAAAACACACAGACGGGGAACACAATTCATTATTATGTGTACAATGTATTCTGGACCATGAACAAAATGAATTTCTTATTGTGGGCTATGGTCAAAACATTTTGAAAGATTTCCTGATTTGCACTTCATAAGACAGCCAAGAGTTATCTTTCAAATGCTTGAGCTCAGTTTTGCTTCCAGAAGGAACACTGTGCATTTATACCTCGTTGTCTTTAAACTTGTGTTATCTCTGGCTAAGCTGCTTGGTCCTCCACTCCTTCAGCTGGCTGACTGCCGCTTTATTGTGATAACCCAGCTCAGGTGCATTCTCCTTTGTCTGTCTTCCCAGAATCACTCAGGCTGATCTAGAAATTCTCCAAATTGCCCTTCTTTACTTACGCCTATTAAGGAGCTCTGGTAGCATAGTGGTTGCAAACCGCAAGATCAGTAGTTCGAAACTACCAGCTGTTCCGCGGGAGAAAGATGAGGCTTTCTACTCCCGAAAGATTTACAGCCTCAGAAACCCATTAAAGAAATGATCACACTGTGTAGTAACTACTCAATGGCAAATACCAGCAACAACTGATGCTTATCTGCTTGTGTTTTCCACTGGTGTCCTGGTGTGGCGCTGTGGGATAAGCACTTGAGCACATGGTAGGTTTGAACCACAAGGTTTCGGTTCAAACTCATTAGCCACTCTTTGGAAACCCTATACAAGGTCACTATGGGTCGGTAACTCTAGGGCACTTAGCAACAATGAGCTCAAGGACTTTATACTATTCATCTAGTATTCCCTTTGCTGAGCCTTGTGCCTGGTGCCTTTAGGTGTTTGGTAAGTTAGTTAAATGAATGCAGTCATGTTAAGGCAAGAATAAGGTAGAATGACTTGAATCTGTAGAGTGGCTGGTTTTGGGTGGTGCTTGTGTGCCATCTACTTGATTCTGACTCATAGCAACTTTGACTAGCGTTTCTGAGGTTGTAAATCTTTATGGGAGCAGAACTCTCAGAGCAACTGGTAGGTTCAAAATGCTGACCTTGCAGTTAGAGCCATCTCATAATCTACTATATTACCAGGACTCCAAAGAGCTCTGGTAGCATAGTGGTTACGAGTTGGGCTGCCAAACACAAGGTCAGGAGTTTGAAACTACCAGTGGTTCCGTGGGAGAAAGATGAGGCTTTCTGCTCCCGTAAAGATTTACAGCCTCGGAAACCCTGTACAGGGTCACTATGAGTGGAAACCAAATCCCTGGTACTTAACAACAACAACAATCTGTAGAGTGAGGATTAAGTTGTTTCCTTTTTGGGCAGATTATTAAACATTATTACGTTCTTCTGCATAATACTTCAACTTTTAGAAGAGTAACTCTGCTAAACGTGTCAGTCTTTAGTATCTTTATTTCTTCAGGATCTAACACAGTGCCTGAGAAACTATAAACAACATGCAGGTTGATTGAATGATATATAATTCTAATTGCAGACAAGATCATTTCTCTCTAAGCACTTTTCCAGTTTGAGAAGCATATGCCTCTGACTAGAATACCTTGATTTTGGTTTTGAAGTCCAAGCTCAGCAAGAACTTGTGGTCTAGACATATACGGAATGTTCCTTCCTGTCCCCTAGCAATCCTGACATTCCATAGCATGTTTGAGGCCACGGAAGCTCTCTCTGTCATGCTTTTTCAGTTGTTTCTGGTTGACAGTTTCAATCATTTACCCCACCTGGTGACAAGCATTTGGCTCAGACTACCACACTGCTCCTTAGGGAGCCTCAGGCACTCTGGCTTCCTTCCAGAGCTCTCCAAGGGACATGCCCAAGCACAGACAGACCTTCACTTGTCCAGAACTCGCTGTGCCCTCCCGCAGGGCAGTCTGCTTCCTATATGGCCTCTGGTACTTGTGACCACTCACAGAGTATTTCTTGAATTGCACTGGGAGGAACCCAGCCCATCACATGACTCCCCCTATCCCCACCTTTCCCTGAGTCAGTGGCAGATGTTTTACCCCTAGAAGTTTTGGCTTTTGTTCCTATAAACATTCTTAAATTAGTGAGCTTCTCCAGTGTTTTCCACAAGTAAGATAGAATAAGGAACCTAGATCTCTAAAGGGCTAAAGCTGAGATACAACACTGACTGGAAGGGCTCAGGAACCAGATTCTCAGAGATCTCCGCACAGTGGAGTCACTGGGTGGTGCAAACAATTAACGTGCTCATCGGCTAACTGGCCAAGTGGTTGGATGTTTGAATCCACTCAGAGACACCTTGGGAGAAAGACCTGGCTAGCTGCTTCTCAAAAATCAGTCATTGAAAACATCTATAGGATACTGTTCAACTCTGACACACATGGGGTCACCGTGAACTGGAATTTGGAATTGACTTGACAGTAACTGTTATTTTATTTTTTTTGTTTTGAAAGACTTATTTAACAATTTTGACAAAATTTTATACCTCTACTCTTTCTCTTTCCTTAACTGTATGCAGTTCAGGATTAGGATTTCTGAGGCCTTTGGGCAAATGTTCCATCTTGTTTTCCACATTGCCTACATCCTAATCAGGATATGGAAAATAACAGAGGACTGACAGATCATTTATCTGCCTAACCATGTGTCCTGAGTACTTGGAAGCCTATTAGTCTTTGGTCTAGGTACTAGGGCTGATCATTAGTGACAAAACACCACCTCTTTAGGAGAGAAAATTCTGGGTGTACTCCTCTGGTTTGTATCTTTGTAACATAACAGTATTTGTTTGGGACAACCAACCTACTGAGAAAAAGACTATGATGTTGTGATAATAGCTCTGAATGTGGAGTCCAAACATGGGCTTAAATCCCTCCTCTGCATAACTCTGTACCTTGGGCCAAATATTACATCTTCAGCACTTGTTTCCTCTTCTACAGTAAGAGATATCAATGCCTTCCTCACAAGATTGACACGAGAACTAATGATGTAACATGCAAAGCAGCTGACACAGTGTTTAGCACATAGTAGACATACAAAATGATGTATCTCTTTCTGCCTGTCTCACTCTAGAACCTCAATGCCTGTCACAAAGTGGGAGCTTTCTAAATGAAAAGGTTTGCTGAGGTGTCCACTGGGAGAACTATCTGCCCATTGAACAGGCAATTGGAGAAGAGCCCGAGACCTCTGGCCTCCATCTGTTTCCCCGAAATCTACCCTAATTTTTCCTTCCCAGTTCTCTGTAACAGTATGCAGGATTCACTACATGTTAAGAGAGGCCTGGATGGTGAGGGTAAGAACCTAGCTTTGGAGGTCAGAATTGAATGCCATCCAGGTCTCTTTCTCCAACAAGCTGTGACAATAGTGGACCCTTCAAGTGCTGACCTGGAAATGACCTGCCTTGGACCTCACCTTCTGACAAGGGGGAAGGGTCACCATCCTGCTTTACAGAGAT